TATCCGTTAGTTCTCTCCGGTTACTTAAATCCTCTGTTAGGTCTGCACTTCGAATCTTCCTTTTGCCTTGCCCTGAACAGCGTCAATTTGAAATCTCTAAACCCCAGACTCAAGCTTCACTCTTCGTCCGAGCGGCAATCGAACCCGATCCCTCTTGCGCGCGCTCATGCCCCTCTACCTTTGTCCTGCAATTTGAACACGATCCCTAACTCAGCAATTGAACTCATTCGTGAGCTTCAAACTCGCGCTTCATTCTTCTTCCAAGCTTCAATCTGTATATGGGCTTGTTCTAGTGTGTCGGAAAGAACAAAAAAGTGAAATTAGTGTTCTTTCTTCTCCTCCCTCCCCCCCTCCCTCACTTATCCTCTTACTCGAAAGCGGGGCTGGGCCATGTCAGTTCGAACTTGAAAGATTCGTTGAAAGATTCAGTTGGTTTCTCTCCGTGCAATATTCTTGCCTCTCTTGTTGAGTCTCGCGCATTTTGAGCTTTTGCAGTCATGGACGCCCCCATTATCGGTTAGCTTTCTTCTGCTTTTTCTGGCTCTCTTACGTAGCTCAAAAGAGCTCTATTTATAACTTAATCTTCCCCCGAACTTATTATAGTTTTGAAACTGATTTTTCCTGGCTGTTCAACGAATTCTGTTGCATTTTGAAGACCCACTGCAGGGAGATTTCCCAGAAGTGATCGAGGAATATCTGGAGCATGGGTGTATGAAATGTATTGCGTTCAATCGTCGTGGTACCCTTCTTGCTGGTAATTTTCACTATCATTGTTCGCTTACTAAATTTATAGGTGTTTTCCTCGCATTTTCTGGGTTTCTAATTTTGTTGCCTCTCCCGGCATTCCCCTGCAAAGCTTTGTCCTTGTGGACCATTCATAGTGTGCTCTTGCGGGGATTCGTTGGCAGTAGCTTTCATGTATTCATTGCGGGGGATTGTAGGGTAGTAAGAATCCTTGTTAACCCAAAAGAAAATAGAACGGGAGTCAATTTTCTTGAAAGATAAATTACTATACAGAGGTCGTCATTATTTCATGTTTGACTTAAGGACTTCAATTAAAGTATAAATCATGGATGAATTAAACTGGTCTTTTTGGGCCCGGATAGCAAGAGAGCCATCTATTTCGGCTTATCGCTTATGTGGATGGACATTTTAATATTTTTCATATTTACAGTGGTTGTAAATTTGTGCATGTAACTAACACTGTGATACCTGCCTACCTGGTGTGGTGAAATGACAAAATGGGTATGGATTACATAGTAAGGTGTTTGTTTCCTTGATTAGAGCATACTGGACCTTGTTGATCTAGGATTCGCCAATTACTGGTCCTATAAAGTTTTCTTCGTTTTCTTTTCTTTAAGAAATTTAAAATTTAAAATGGTGTATTGAGATTGGTGCTTGCAAGGATACGGTTTGCGGAAGGGAACAATATTTTACATGCTTGACCTAAGTTGTACTCTCAATGTTATGCAAATGGTTTCCCTGGTTGTGAACTTGAGAATGTGGATAACGAATGCAAATTCTTTAGTGCAAGTTGGTCTCCTGAAAATAAGGTGGAGAGATGGGTGTTACTGTTGATATGTTTGGCTGTGGGATGATTATATTGGGAAATAGGGCTTTGGACATACTAGTCAATAGAGAATTTTTGTACATGGGGAGAAAGAATCTGTTTGGACAGATTTTTGGGTATATGTTGCTTATGAGTGGGCATTAAAGTTAACAGCAAAGGCACTGGAAAATCCCTGGGGTCAATAAGATGAAGGAGCATACTGGACTGAAAATAGGAGTTCTTGATTCTATCTTTTTTTAATCAAACTTTTGTTTGGACTGTTGCTTAATTGATGTGTAAGATATTGTCAATCATGCTGATTTGTATTTAAGGTGAACTCCAACTCCTAGATTTCTTAAGGTGGTTACAATGTCAAGCTGTTTAGGGAAATGGAGCAAGGGATTGCATGATCAAATCTCATCGTCACCTTTACATGACAGTCACCTTTCTTACCTTATAATGAGTGTAGACTGCATAGTTTACAATCATGTGATGGCTCTAAACTTGTAATGTTTTTATTAAAAAGAATAAATTGGGCTATGCTTTTTCTTTTGTCATTGCCATTTAATCTATGCAACTGTGTGATTTTTCTACGTCCATATGTGCTGCAGATGTTCAGTTTGGAAAACCAAGTTCTATCAAGTTGAAATGAAGTATCGCTTTAGAAAACATTTTGACCAGATTATATTCACAACCTTTTGTTTTCCTATATTTTAATTGGGTTGGATAATTTATGGAATCCTGTCAATTAGTAATTTCTTATTGATTTGCATGGTTAATTTCTGTAGCTCCAACTTAACGCATGCTCTGTAGTGTTCTTTTTGGGTCCGAAAATGTTTGTGTGGGACTTGATAAATATTATGGGAAATTTTGAAATGTTGTGAATTTATATTGCACCGTTGATTCTAACTCTGATTCTTGATTTATTCTTCTGAATCAGCTGGGTGCAATGATGGAAGTTGCATTATTTGGGATTTTGAAACCAGGGGCATTGCTAAGGAGCTTCGGGATTTTGATTGTTCTTCTCCCATCACTAGTATATGTTGGTCCAAGTATGGCCATCGAATTCTTGTATCTGCTGCTGATAAGTCATTAACGTTGTGGGATGTTAAGAGTGGTGAGAAGATTAAGCGAATAGTTTTACAACAAACCCCTCTACAAGCCCGACTTCATCCTGGTTCCTCTACTCCATCTCTTTGCTTAGCATGTCCTGTCTCGTGTGCTCCCATGATTGTTGATTTGGATACAGGAAACACTACTTTGCTTAAAGTTTCTGTCCCAGACATAGGTAATGGATCAACTGCCCCATCACGCAATAAGAGCTCTGATGGGTCTACCCCCTACAGCCCAACTGCTGCATGTTTCAATAAGTATGGGAGTTTGGTTTATGTGGGGAACTCAAAGGGGGAGATTCTTATAATTGACTATAAAGGCAATGAAGTACGTGCCATGGTTCCAATCTCTGGTGGTTCAGTGGTCAAGAGCATAGTATTCAGCAGAAGTGGGCAGTATCTGCTCACGAATTCAAATGATAGAATAATCAGGGTCTATGAGAACCTTCTTCCACTGAAAGAAGAAATTAGGGCCCTTGATGACCTAAATGAGAACCTCAATGATCTTAGTGATGTTGAAAAGTTGAAGGCTGTTGGATCTAAATGTTTAAATTTATTTTGTGAGTTTCAAGATTCCATCACAAAGGTGCACTGGAAAGCACCCTGCTTTAGTGGTGATGGTGAATGGGTTGTCGGTGGTTCTGCTAGCAAAGGAGAGCACAAGATTTACATATGGGATAGAGCTGGGCATCTTGTGAAAATTCTTGAAGGACCTAAAGAAGCCCTTATTGATTTAGCTTGGCATCCTGTTCGTCCTATTATTGTATCTGTTTCTCTGGCTGGCTTAGTTTACATCTGGGCCAAAGATTATACTGAGAACTGGAGTGCGTTTGCTCCTGATTTCAAAGAGCTTGAGGAAAATGAGGAGTATGTAGAACGAGAAGATGAGTTTGATTTGATTCCTGAGACTGAGAAGGTATGAACGGATTTGCATCATGCAGGTCATCTTTTGCGTACCCTACTCTGGTGTTTTTTAATTCCGACACATATTACTCTTGCAGGTGAAAACATCTGACGTTAATGAAGATGAAGAAGTTGACATTGTTACAGTGGAAAAAGATGAAGCTTTCAGTGATTCTGATATGTCTCAGGAAGAGCTCTGCTTCTTGCCAGCAACTCCTAGTCGTGATGAGCAGCAGGACAAGTGCATTGAAAGTTTTTCAAAGCTGGTGGACAGTAATAATTCTGGATCCCCTCTTTCAGAAGAGCCTGGACCAAATGGACACATGAACCATGCATCGAGTCCACTTGAAGGTAACATCATGCGTTGCAGCATGAGTTTGGCTTATTTGGGTTCAAAAGAACACCAAATTCCAAATAAATCAATAACCCACATATTAAATTTTGTTTGGTTGTGCGGGGTTATTTTAGCATTTTGGTTCCTTATCCTTGGCTTAGTCTTTAGCATAACTTCAGTTCATTAGCAGTTAGTACCCTTTAGGTTGAAATGAAAAACGTTTGTTTGCATTTTTCTTGTGAATCTATGACTCTTATGTAGCCTTACATTTTTTCTTCTGCAGATGATGCAGGAGGAACACATATGAAAAGAAAGCGGAAACCATCAGAGAAGGGGCTGGAATTGCAGGCAGAAAAAGTCAAGAAACCCTCGAAATCCAGTAAATCTTCAAAATCCAAAGTAGATCTTTTGTTGATCAGGATAATGGTGACAGTTTATATGGTGATGAACTTTCTGATGAATGACGGCATATTTCTTTTTTGTAATATCAGAAGATGGTTCATGATAATTTCTTTTTATTAACTTCATTTATCCACTTGTAATATTTCTATCATATAGGTTTCTTTGCTTGTCTATCCCCTCCCTACTGTTCCCCTTAGTTCAGGCTGGCCTAGTAATAGCTGGTGTGCCCATTCCTTTATACGGTTGCTGTCTATGGGAGGGAATTATCACCAGATAGGTTTGAGCCCATCAAATTACAAGTTGGACTCATGAAGTAGTAGATATGCAATTTCTGTCACTTCAGTTGACTGAATTATGGCCTAATTGATTTGCGAAGCAGTGAAAACATTCGAGAATAATGTAGGACGGATGTGACCCATATAAATCTTCGAAAAGGTTGAAACTCGGCTAATTTTATGGACGGAAACGGTGCTATAGCTGTTTCTTGCACAGCATTTTTTTTTTTTGGGACTTCCACATGATCCATTTTTTAAATAATGTTTACATCAATCCATACCATGTACTAGGCTAGAAGGACGTGCAGGTCAACGTGAGTTTGAAGTAACTAGAAGTTGTCCTGCTTATTTACAGTATGTTAAGATGTAATTATTGGTGAAACTCTTGTACAGAATCATGTCGAAGGAAGTAGATATTCGTTTGTCTATTGTCTTGCTTGGGAACGAAGCTTGAAGGATGCATAAATGCCTACTGCCACCATCAGGATTGCTGCACCTGCGTATAACAGCTTCTGTTTATCTTCTTCCCTGAACTTGTCTGCGAGTCTTGTTGCGGCCTGCGAAGCAGAGTTAGCTATATCCCTGACGCCTTTTCCTATAAAGGATTCATTTTCCTTCGTTCCGTGATTCCTTTGATTGACTTTACCAGTTTAGCATCCGTTTCTTTCTGCGTTTTCTCAGGGGCTTTCAAGCTAGAACTCCCCTTTTCCTTTCTTGCTTCTCCAGCTAAAGTCTGAACCTTCTGAGGTGCTTTTCCTGCCTCTGAAGTCTTGCTGTTATCTTCTTGAATCCTTTCCTTCTCAGCGCTCTTGTTTTTCTCATGCTTCTCGTCGTCTAATTTACCTTTTTGAGGAGTTCCCTCTTGATCCTTTTGAGCCGTTCTAGATTCTCCTTTTGGTTTTCTTGGGGTGGAAGCATCTTTAGTCTCCATCTCATCTCTATGCTTTTCTTCCTCTTTGATACCTTTCTGGGGAAGTTGTTCTTTATCCTTTTGAGGCATTTGAGATTCTCCAGTTTTTTCTGGTGGGGTTGGTGTTTCATCTTTTTTCTTATCAGATTCTCTCTGACTCTTGATGTCAGATTTGGGTTGTTCTTGAGAGACACCTTTCTCACCCTCTTTAGTGGATCCTTCTGATTCAACAGCAGAAGCAGCTGTTGGAGGAGTGACCTGTTTAGTTGCTTCTTGGGCTGGTTTTGGTTCTTTGGGAGTAACACTTGAAATTGGCTTCTTTGGGATGGTAATGGTGACAATTGTTCCATCAAACTTTCCCTTGAGCTTATCAAAATCACATGTCTCTGGAATTACACGCTCTTCTGTGAATCGTTTCCGCTTATTATCAGGAAGTGGTTTTTCACCGAAAACCCTAATTTTCCTCGTGTCTGGCTCAAAGCTTGCACCAATTTGTTCTTTAGTAAAACCTGGAGAAAAACTCATTTATCACTTTTTTGATGGTTCCATGAATCTGTTCTTTTTTTTAAAAAAATAAAACAAAATAATGATAACAACAACAACAAAAAGCTGAGTTATATTGAAGTATTGGAATCCAAAAGTTCTCCTTTTGTATTGATTTGTACATAAATGTTCTACCATAAAACCTGGGTTAAGTGGTAATATTAAATGCTTAAACAAAATCTTGAATTTATGAAAAAATATATATTAAAAAAAAAAGCGTGTTGATCATGGATATGGTTTATCCGAAAGGAAGAAAAGATATGATTACACAAATTGAAACGACTATTCATTAAGAAAAACTTCCACAGAAGTTGGTTGAGAGACTAATTTTGATCTTATGAATTTATAATTTTTCCTATGTCATTTTTAATTGGTTGCTCATTAAATATGACTTTCATCAATAATGGTTTTATTAAAAAAAAAAAACAGTGAGGATAGGATATTTTAGAACAATTAACATATATATATTTTTACATATAATTAATGTCACTAATTTCTTTAATCTTTATCAATTAATTATCTAGTTTTTAAGAAAATTAAATCATTTTTCTGAAAGAGTTTTTTTTAATAAAAAATTAATGTTCAAATAACAGTAAAACTTAATGGGCTTTACCAAAGTGATTGATCATTAAAAATTGTACATGTATATTGAAAATGCAATGATTATAATGTTTGTGTGAGAGAAACCCAACAGAGACCGGGTCCGAAGAGATTAGTTTTTCACAATATAGTGAATTAGTGTTTGAATTCTTGATAAGAAGTGTTGGACAGTTTCTCGAACAAGTTTTTCATGAAAGATTACTTGTGTATAATAGAGAGAGAGAGCTACACACACAAATATGAAAATATAGGCTTTAATTAGGTAAAGATGCATACAGACCAGGAATATGAACAAGAAGAAGAAGAGCATCTGGACTGTCCTTCTCTTCCACAAGCGGCTTGAAATCTTCATATGTTTGCGTTGAAGCCATATCGGGTAGCTTGTCTGCTATCAGAAAATTATGGCAATTTTTCTGAATTGCATGCAAAGGCTTCAACTTCCAATATTTATAGAGGGGATGGTGCCTTGCCTTCCTCGGCTTCTGGGTTTGATTTCCTATCAATGAAGCTATTTCTTTTCTGGTTGCTTCAGGAATAATGTAACGTGATTATTGAAGTTTATGAAGGAGTTTGTTTTCCTAGGCGATATGTGAGGCATAACTTGTTCCAGAAATAAGGTAATATATTAAGTAAAAGTCATTCCACAAAATCTAATCTATTTTTTTTATTTACTATTCATTATTATTTCAAACTTAACAAATCAAATTTGCCTTAATTTTTTAGTTTGAATTATTTTCAAATTTACAAATAATCCGATTCTAATTAATTTTGATTATACTAGTTGATAATTAATATTCATTATCTCATTATTCTTTGTTCATTTTATAGTTCATTTTTTTCTAGTTAAAGTTTCATTATATCTCCTTATGGATTTGCCAACCGTCCGTGGTTTGTGAGCAATGAAAGGGAAGGGAGGAGGGTTGATATTTGATTGAGTTAAAAAAAAATGAATAAACTGGGTGGCAAGTTTTCGATTAATTTTTGGGTTAAAACAATATGGTTAGTCCCTAAAATTTGCATTGTTTGGAATCCTTCATTTTGATTCTTTAAGTTTATTCCATTTAAAAGGTTTGGCCTGTAGGAAAGCTACCCTGTGTTCGGGGCTGTAATTGGTTTGCAACCCCGAATTAAAAAAAAAATATATATAATGTGCAAATCACATAAAGGTTAATCATTAGAATTTCATGTCATTTTAACACTTTTTTCTTGGGTTTTATACACTCTTAGATATTTTTTTTTTTCATCTTTTAGCTTTTATCCTTGTTATTTTTGAGCTTATAAAGTTTGTTACTTTTGCAAGGTATATTTTGGCATTAAGAGTAATTATATCAAGTCACTTGGAAAACTTTTGGAAGTATTTGAGGATCAAGGTTGCTTTAGAATCACATTATGGTGATCAAAGAAGAATAAATAGACTCCAAATTATGGGTGAAACTCCTTATTGAGTTAGAAGAATAGAATTTTCCAGAGGCAAAATGAGCTGTGACGCACTCCGTCTTGGTTATGGCCCAACTCAAACAAAGGCAGACTTGACCACGACGCAAAATTTTTGGGCCGCAATGTTGTCGTTGACAGCAATAGGAACAGCAACAGCAGGTCAAAAAATTCCAAGTTTTAAGACCCCAAACCTGACCTTGGCCGCCATTCTTCAGTTTTGGATGGTTTTTAGGAGTATTGTGCTGTGTTAGGGCTTGCTTCTTGGAGGAGATTGAGCTAGAAGTTGGAGTTTTGAAGAGATTTGGGCTTCTTTCCTTGGTTTTTCCTCTCCATTTTGCTTTTTCTACTCTTATTCCATTTTGTGCTGATGTGTATATATATTCTCATGGATTTTCTTAGTTTGTGTGGTTAAATACATTGATTCTAGAATTATTTTGAACTCTCGTATAGATTAAGTACTCATTTCCCCTATATATTTGTGATTAATGATATAATTGTGTTGATTTTACTCTATGTTTAATGCTTCTTGTTTATTGGCCACTAATAAGATTGTTGGGTTCACTTGATTGATGCTTGAAATGGTTAGGTTGAGCGTAGAACTTGAGTTTAATCGTGTGAGAACTTAAAATTTGCAAGTTGGCTGGATGGTTTTGTTAATGAGATAGAAATATACTCATTAATCTCACATAGTCACAGAAGGTTTGCAATTAAAATTAGGGCTTAATTAATTAATTAAGAGATTAAGGAATTAATTGAGCTAAACACCGATTTAGAGACATGAGAGAGCATTTATAGGTAATTTAGTATCCTTGGCTAGCATAATCTATAATTAAGAAGCAAATACAATGGGGATTTAATTAAGTACCTTTGAAATATAAGGGGTATAAGTAATCTTAAGTTCCTTTGAATCATTAGAATTGAAGAATCACTTTTTCTTTTTATTAATTTTTAGTTTTATAAATAGTTGCTTTCATTTTTTATATTTGTATTACTCAAATTAATTGAAAATATGATAATCAATACTTAACTGCGTTTTGAAATCAAATTCTCATGAAAATGATAATTTAGTCATCACTTTATTACTTGTCCTGATCCTTGCACTTATGGTGCAAACAATAACAATCTCATTAAATATTGCCCGCCATTGAAAGTAACTTGATTCTATTAAGATGTTGCATAACAATGAGATTTATGGAAATTGTTGACATAGCAGTTTCAAGAGAAATTCCAAGTTTGATAAAAATATTACTTTTTAGAAATTATATATTTGCGATATTTTAATTAGAAAATAAAAAATGATCATATAATGAATTCAACACATGTTTGTAAATTTTAGAAATACGTACAATTTATTAATTATCATGGAAAGATTTTTTGTGGTAACGATTTCCAAACGGTTAGATCTTAATAATCAAAAGTGACAACACTGAATAAGATAAAGAAATCAATGTATCCAAATCTAAGCCGTTGTGTATTTTTATTGAATCGATGAAGGATTTTTTTGACGTTGTAATCTTGCCTTAAATATATGATACTCAATTGGAGTTTTGCAGGGATCCTTCACCTCAATTTGTTTCAAATTGTAAGTACTTTTTGGTTTCATAACTTTGCTTGTACATGTAACTTTAATTTGAAGAAATAAAATGGGGCGACAATTTTTGAGGCAGAAAATAGCAAAGTGGGAAGGGAAAATATTAAACTTTAAATCATATATTTGAGATTTTTTATTTAATGAATGATTAAACACATGTTAAGGAGTACAGGTTGGTACATTCCCAAAGACTTGGGGCTTGATGTTTTTACAAGTAGCTATTGTAGGAGTCCCATTGAATTTGAGATCAATGTTTGTGAGTTTTACCTTCTCACATGGTACACTACTGCTACAAATTAAAATTATTCCTTCCTTTGTTGTTGATGTGCCTCTAATGTTTTTGAAGGAAACTCTACTAATTTGTACTTTCGATGGAGTCTGTCATTGCAGCTCAGAATGCAAGAAAGAAAAAGAAAATACAAAAAAAAGTAGTTAGAAATATGTAGGGAAAACTCAAACAAAAAATGATACACCAAAAAGTAGAAAATACATAAATTAGATAAATATGCCCATGTTATTCCAACATTTGCATCACATATTTTTCCCTTTTGATAAAATTTTTTTTGAACGTGCCTTTTGGTAAATTTCAAATGCTTTGAAATGCACTCATGCATTTTCAATTGTTTGTTTAATATTTTTAATTTTATTTCATATTGTTTATTATTTTATACATGTATAAAAATCAATGCATTTTGGGAGAGAGAGAACTAAATACCTGTTTTGAGCATTGGTTCCATGGACAGTATTCTTGGTCTATGATTATAGGATTGGTGACATTAATCATAACGAGATTCTCAAAACGCAATTGAGAGACTGAAATTTTTATTAAAGTACCCGGCCAAGTCTTGATTCTCACACCATTGTCAGTATTTTTAAAAGTGCAATTCTTTACTATTAGACCTTCCACAGGTTCTTCATTTTCATATTTTCCAAGGCTTCCAACACTAATGCCATGGCCAGGTCCACATGTCACGTTCTCAACACTCACTTGTTTACTTCCATCACCTAATGAGATGCAGTCATCTCCTGTTCTAATGTTTGAGTCAAGTATTTTCACCAATGTTGATCTTCCAATGTGAATTCCATCTGTATTCGGACTTTCTGCTGGGGCCTCAATGGAGAATTTGCTAAATGTAATATTTCGGCACCCTAGAACATTCACATGAAAGTGTTTGCTATGCTTTGATGTTGTGTCTCGAATGATCGAATTGTTCATGAAGCTAAAACCAAAATTCTGGAAGAGTTTTCAAAGAAAGTTAGATTGTAGAAAAAATCTATGCACTATTAATTTAATTTTTTTTTCATGATAAGAGTAGACTGAATAAAAAAAAAAAGAGATAAAATGTTAGGCAATAAAGAATGAACACAAATTTTTCTAATTTTCTTTTTCCCCCCTCTTAACATAGTTTTTACCATATGAGAAGATTCACTCAATATATGATTTTTTTTTTTAGGTTAAAACATATACTTGTATATTATTTTGCTAGAAACTATACATTTGTTATATTTTAATTAAAAATTAAAAATATATATATAACGAATTCAACACATTTTACAAATTTTAGAAATGTGTATAATTTAGTAATTACCATAGAAAGTTTTTTGCAATTCCATGTTTGATGACAGTTATTTTGCTTCCAAGCTGTAGAACCTTGACCGTCAAAGGTGGCACCACCAGATAAGGTAAAAGAATCGATGTATCCAAAACTGATCCATTGAGAGTCTCCATCAAATTGATTAGGATTTTCTGGCGCTGCAATATTGCCTTCAATTTGAAGCTCAATTGGAGCCTTGCAAGGACCGTTTAACTCTATTTGTCTCAAATTGTATGTATTTCTTGGCACCAAGACTTTGCTTGCACTTGCTGATGTACATGCTGCTTTCCATGCTCTTTCCAAGCTCTAATCAACATCAATTAATTGGTCAAGTGTATTTCAATTAAATATATTTATGAAAAACTTCTTGTAAGAAGATATACTTAACATGTGATAATAATAAAACAACAAATTTATATCAAAGTTTATTTTTCATAAAAAAATGTACAAATTTTTGCATTTGAATTTTATGAATCCACCACAAAAGTAATATTTGAAAACAGACAGCCTGCTGCAAAATCAATCTGTAACCAACCAATTCTTTTGTCCCAAATTTCCTTTTATTTTTCCATGTAGTAAACATTCAAACTTGGAATTGACGAGATAAATACTTACTAAGGTCAGATCTCCATTAGGTGCTCCACCATAGTTTGTTATATCAAAAACCACAGGCTGAGCTATAGTGGAAGATGCTAGCAGTAAGAATAAAGCAGAAATATAAACAATACTCAAAATGGCATCCATATGTAGTTCTTCTTTGAATTCTATATTGGCCCTTTTCTGCTCTCTGGGTTTTTTTTTTTTTGGGTGATAAACTCTCTTTTTGTAATAGAACAATGTCTACTGGAGTTGTTTATGGTGGTGAAACCCCATTACACAGAGATCTATTCATATTGTTGTGGTAAAATTGTGACAAGCCATATAAATAGAAAAATAATGAAATTATAAAACTGTAGTTGTTTTTTCTTTAAACATGGTTATAACCAAAGCCCGTTTATTTAACAAATACTTCAAATTTGGCCATTTTGGCATAGTAAATAATTAAAATTTTTCCAAATTTCAAGATTTTGTTTCAAACAGTGAGCAACTTTGATCAAGGACTTGAAAACAAACAATCTTCATCCACTTTTGCAAGATAATTGATTTGAGTATTCAAATGTTGTTACTGCAAAATCGGTTTTGAGAAGTTTTATCCTCAACGATATAGTATTTTGGTGTTTATAGGTGTTTAGTTAATCACATTTGCACATTCTTCAACGTTTTTGGTTTTTAATTTTCATAATCTATTGTTGGAAGTAATGGCGTATGACATTATATTTAATATAAGTTTTGATGAAGATAAATTTAACCTGACAGCATCAAATATCGGATGTCATGTAACAAATGAGAATATTCTCATAAAACCTATTTAAAAATAATTTTTATCTTTTTTTTTTGGTACAATTAAAAATAATTTTTATACTCTCCTGGTCCTTAACATAGAAACTAAATAGAGAGTTAATATTGATTCTAAGTGTAAGACCTATTTTATATAATTATCAACTTTTTTCTCATTCCTTTAATAATAATAAAGTAAAAGAGGGAGAAAGGAAATTTAAAAAAATGCTTAGAGTGTTTTAGAAAAAGTACTCCTTCGGTCTTAAATATAAGACCCTTATACTAGAACCGGAGCAGTATATCATATTACCTAATTCAACTAACATTTTTAATATACTCAAATTAGTTAATTAGATTTTATATTAAGGACTAGAGGAGTATTGATATCATAAATTTATTATTAATGAGTTGTCATGAATAATAAATCAACACTGAGAGAATCAATATATCATCAAGAAAAGAATACAAGGAAGTTTAACAATTCCGTACGATCACTTAAAACAAGTGTTTTTATACACGTTGAGATAAACTTTTCTATTATATTATATATCCTAAAATCACTTTTAAATGGCTGATCCAAATACTGTGAAGTGAACGTTGCAGCTCTGGACTCAGATCCCTATAGAAATGAATAATGATGGCCGTGGCCTGAAAACCGACATTTTCCTTTAGGGAGGGTCAGTTTCTCTTTTTCTTTTTAAATGATAGGTTTTTTCTCCATTTTTCTATCAAGCCCAAAACTTGTTCAATTTTCTAAGAATTCCCAATTTAATTGCAAGTTTTGGTTCAATAATGACTCAACTTTGATCCAACCTGACAAAACTACAGAAGCATCCAAATGGAAAAAATTGGAAACCTATGAGAAGATAAACCAACTCTGAGCACTAGTATGAGAACTTGAAAGAATTTGACGTGACCTCTTCACTAGATTGAAACTCTGGTATATTTCCATTTTCAAGGCCTTCTTTAGAGGGAACTAGTTCAACCATATCATTGCACTGAACATAAGTTTGTTAACAGAGGGCACAGAGAAGTTAAAAACATTCATACATAAAACAGTTGCACTTGTCTGGTCAAAAAAAAAAAAAAACAGTTGCACTTGTGCCGCCTGACTTGCTATACAGTGTTGGAAATCTTAATGGAGCATTAATTCCCAGCGAGTAGCCTACATGGGAAAAAGGAGAAAAAGGATGAGGAGAGGATCCAAATCCGTCTGCATGACACAACTTTGCTGTCTTTGTTCCCTTTTCGGTGTTTTTATCAGTTTTATCAGTTAGCCGATTAGGAGTCGCTCTTCTTGAATAAATGGGCAAGATCAGGATCATCTAAACTCACATCCAACCATCCATTCATCTGCATGTATTCAACGTAATGATCTGGAGGCTTCACAGCAGGAACACGTTTAGGAGTAAAGCCGTGAATTCTAGCAACATCTCTGGCAAGCCATTTTACATACGCCCGGTCCAAAGGAGGGGCAATCTTCAATAATATCACATCATCTGTTTCTTGTTTTGCTGGTTTGTTTCCCATGCCAAAGCACCCTGATGAGCTTAATCGATGGACAACAAAAGGGTCAGAGTAGAAAAAGAAGGAAAAGTGATGCTTCATGCAGAACTAAGTAAAATGGTCAACATACGCAATCATTACAAGAGGCAAACAAGCCTTATATATTGGTTATTTGGTTATCTAGCTGTAGTAACCCAAAATTATACCCCCTCCACATTTAGTCAACTTACGCATTCTAAACTCATCCACGGCTTCCAATTGTTTAATTCAACGAGGTAAACACTGCAACATAAGTGCAAAACTTAAAATGCCTTAGATCATTAACAATGATCTTTATAGTGAAATGCCAATAATAAATAGACATGTCAAAGCACAAACATGAGAAAGGAAAAGGAATGTATTTTCACAAAAACACCTTACAATGGCATCATGAATTCTGGATCACCTTATTTTAAGCTTTTGACTGTCCTCTAAAATGTATAACTAACTCCCACATAATTATATGACATTGTTGTATACTTTGTATACACAACAAGCAAAGGGGTGCATATGGTAAGGGAAGGATGGAGCTAAGGATGTATATGGACACATATCGTGCATGGAAATCTCCTTGAATCAGTCTAGCTAAACATTTTGCCTTATATTAATCTGCATGGTCTTTATCATGATTTCCTTTTGCAGATTAACGAAGGACTAAGTTCCCCAAACTGACACAGAAACTTCAATTTTCTTAGGCACATCGCACTTCAAAAATTTAAATGAAGGAGTGTAAGGAACTCATCCCCCATCCATCCGCCAACGAAGATTGTAATTAATACGGTCACTCCATCACCTAAATTCATAAATATGAAGGTATTTGGTAAATCTTAAAATCTCAAAACAGAGTCTACCCGTGCAGCAGCTAAATTCGACCACTGAGGCAGAAAAGTATGTGAATATGGAGCATTTAGGAACTTGAACAGTACCTACACATTTACGGCCACTACAACAAGCTTTTCTCATGCAAAGTGATCATTTCATCAAGCCAAAATAGAACTAACTGAACTAATGCATTCACAGCAGGAAGGACAATTTTCACATGCAAACCCAGAGCCAAAGGATCCTTCTCTCAAGCTTAAAATAGGTGGAAGCATCAACCCATGAGTCCATGACCCTCAGGCTGCTGTTGGAACTTGGAGGGATTCTTTAATTTGGGAAAATAAACCTTAACATAAGATTAAGTTCATACAATGTATGTAGACCAACTAGAGAATCAAGCCATAGTTTTTTTGGGAAAAAAATTATTTATTTATTTTGCAGTGCTTAAAGTCCACCAATGATCTTCCAATAATAATCATCCTCACTGCCAGTGCCCTCATGGATTCAAGAACAATAAGTAGGAGGCAACAGTGTTTTGACCCCCGAAAATTCTTTAGAAAAAATAAAATAAAAGAAACTTTACCATAGCAACAATACCAAAAGTAATCAGTAAGCATTCCTGTGGGAAAGCACAAAGCCTAATCAAAAGGCAAGTTCACGTCGTATGAACCATAGAACATTAATCATCACTTTCAATTTGCATAACATCGCACCACGGACTTTTCTTAAACATGGTAAAAGCAATTGCACGGCAGGCTTGGAATTTTAGGCAAAATAACATAGAAGTAAAGTTTCGGAACCCACATAAGTAATCCTAAGATCAAAATCCTGTACCCCCAAAATTACTAATAAAACAAACTTAAAACGATCATAACACGACATGGAAATCATTATGAGACCGTTCCCTCTCATTACCAAATCAAAACCCAACGACCGAGAAGGGGAGAAGGGGACGATACAGCTACATTGTAATGAACGCAAAAACCAAAATCTTCGGAGGATTACAAGTCCAATCCCCAACTCGTAATTCGGCTACAAATGACATATAAAGGAGAATCAGAATAAGTATGTCACCTTCGAAGTCAACTCCAAGCCTATCGGATTTCGACTCCCTGGTTTGTTCCCGCTTGCTTTATCGCCTCAGCCTATCCCGGAAACCACTAGACACCTCCCCGTCCTTCTCCCAGTTCAGGAAAAAGAAGTTAAAATGAAACAAGCCTAAGGCCCATCTGTTGCTAGATTGGGCTTTATACTCCTAAAATATATCTATAAGGATTTTTTAACATTATATATTTTGCCGTTATCATGTTATTACTTTTTTTTTTTTTGCCAGACCATTGTTATGTTATTATGAGATGCAATAAATAACAATTAGGATTTAGAAAAATGTAAGAGTTAGTTACTAGAGCTATTTTTTCAATAGAAGTTGGGAGATTTCTCTTTGATCCTAAATGTAAAATCTTAAATCTATATCCTCCCAAATATTTATATATATATATATATTAAAATTATCTCTGTTGCACGTGTTAATAAGATTCTGCTGGTCAAAAAACATGTTAATAAGATTCCATCAAATCAAGGAGGGAGTTCCAATAAAAATGATTGAAGAAAATATTTTAGAGAAAACTAATATATTTTTTATTTACAAATAATTAATTTAATTAATTTTTTAATCTTTCTAAATTAGTTATATGGTTACTAAATTAAGTACTGGAGGGAGGACAAACAAACCTAGGACAGAAACAAGGATGGAAAATGATTGAGAAAGCATGTAAGAACCAATCCATGTTATATCATTCAAAATTTTGCCAACATTATTTTTTTCTCAAGAAATTTTCTTATTATGCTTTTTCTCCATTCTTGCAATTGATTTTTCCTCTTCTTCCAATGCCTGATCAATTTCCCCTTATTTATTAATTTATTATCCATTTCATTGATTTTTAACCGAATTTTTAACTTGCCCATTTCATATATCAATTAAACTACACAAATATGATGATTGGTTTCTCTGATCGAAGTAGTTAGTTGGGCTCAATTTTATAAATATAAGTTCTATATCCTCTTAGTTTTCAGTTTTATAAGCAACGAAACAGCTTTAAAAAAAAAAAAAATTGAATGATAAGGGGGTTTCAAATTTCTGGATCAGCTTTAAAAATGTTCAGAAAATCAATCTTAATGTTTGAACTTAAATTTAACTAATGTTTAACCTAGATACGCACATCAAGAATAAGATCTTTAACAAAATGGCAGAGTTACATAAAGATCTAATATGACCAAAACAACACAATTTATATGCTGACTAGGATCCATGTCTACTGTATTTTTTTTTTTCCTTTTCCTTTTCCTTTTGTAAAACACTTTTTACGGTTTCCCATGATAAACCTCAAACCCAAATTCACCGCTAAATACTTTTGGTTTTAATCTTAATTTCTCCCTTTGTTTTGTGTTACCCCCATTGCATTATTTGCATTCCCTTTTGGGTTTGTACTTTTCCATAGATTTGGGGCTTGACATGTGTCAAAACATTATAATTTTTGAAGTAAAAACGGACAATAATAGTTTGAATTACAATTGATATTTTTAATTAGATGAATCAATATAATATATTCTCAGGAGTACGAGTTGGCATATTGCCACCAAAGACTTGATATTCTTACAAGTAGGAATTGCAGCAGTCCCATTGAATTTGAGATTAATATTTGTGAGTTTTATCTTCTCACATGGGACACTACCACTACAAGTTAGGATTATTCCTTCCTTTGTTGTGGATGTACCTCTGATATTCTTGAAGGAAACTCCACTGTCTTTTACTTTCGATGGGGTCTATTATAGCAACTCACAATGCAAGAAAGAAGAAAGAAAAGATAAATTACGTAGTAAAAAATAGATAGAGAACCTAAAAAATGAGACATCAAAAAGCAAACAGTATAAACAGTACAAACATATGGATATCCCCGTAAAATTCCAAAATTCGCATCGCAAATACAATTTTTCCTTTCGATAAATTTCGAATATTTTGAAACGCATATTTGCATTTTAAGATGCTTGTTTAAGATTTAAATTAATTTTGTATTGTTTACTATTTTTTACATGTATAAATATGTATCCATTTTGAGAGAGAGAGAGATTGCTTCCATAGGTAATATTCTTGATCTATATTATAGGATTTGTGACATTAATCATGGTAATATTCTCAAAACACAATTGAGATACCAGAATTTTTATTGAAGTATCAGGCTAAGTTTTGATTCTTACACCATTGTCGGTGTTTTTAAAAATACAATTCTTTACTACCAAACCTTCTACAGGTTCTTCACTTTCATGTTTTTCAAGGCTTCCAACACTTATGCCATGGCCAGGTCCGCATGTCACATTCTCAACAATCACTTGTCTATTTCCATCACCAAATGAGATACAATCATCTCCTGTTCTAATGTTTTAGTCAAGTATTTTTACTTCTGTTGATCTTCCACTGTGGATTCCCTCTGTATTTAGACTATCTATTGAGACCGCAATGGAAAATTTGCTAAATGTAATATTCTAGCATCCTAGAACATTCATGTGAAAGTGTTTGCTATGCTTTGATGTTATGTCCTGGATGACTGAATTGTTCATGAAGTTGAAACCAAAATTCTAGAAGAGTTTTAAAAAAAAAAGGTAGACTTCTAAAAAATTTAGTGCATTATAGATTTAGAATTTTTTTTTTATTACAAGAAGAAGTTTTATTCAAAAGAGATAAAATGATAGGCAACACAAAATAAACACAAATCATTATAATTTTCTTTCTTTCTGTTAACCTATTTTTTAACCAAATGAGAGAATTCACTCATGATGTTAAAATATATACTCATATTATTATTTAGAAAATATACATTTGTTATATTTTAAGTAGAAATTAAAAAATGATGATACAAGAAAGGGAGAATTACAGTCAAGTCCCACATAAGAGAAATAATTACTAAAAAGTCCTAATAACAACCTCATCAGTCTATAATGATAAGTCTTATAGTGAGAATGACAACCTCTAGGACTTGTTTCTTAATTGTTTTCCTTGCCTGGGACCTCATTGTAATTCTCCCTACAAGAAATTCACACATGTTTGTAAGTTTCATGAGTAAAATTGATTAATTAGCATGGGAAGCTTTTTGCAATTCTAAGTTTGATGACAATTATTTTGGTTCCAAGCTATTGAGCCTTGACCGTCAAAAGTGGCACTACCAGACAAAGTAAAGGAATCAATGTATCCGAATCTAAGCCATTGAACATCTCCACTGAATTGATTAGGGTTTTTTGATGCTATAATGTTACCTTCAATGTGAAGTTCAATCGGAGCTTTGCAAGGACTATTAAAATCTATTTGTCTCAAATTGAATGTACCTTTGGCCACAGAAATTTTGCTTGCACTTGTTGATGAACTCATGAACAAGCTGCTTTCGGTGCTCTTTCCAAGCTCTTGTCAACATCAATCAACAACTCGAGTGTATTTTAATAAATTGTAATATAAAAAAAATTGTAGGTAGATATACTTGTGTTAACAAAAAAAATTATGACAAAATTTATTTTTTGTCCTACAAGTTTTGAGATTGAAATTTTGTGAATAAGCCACCAAAGAAATATTTACAGAGGGATAATCTGTTGCAAAATCAATTTGTAATGAAGAGTAGTTCTTTTGTCCCATTTTTTGTTGTTGTAGTGAACATTCAAAATAGGAATTGAAGAGATAAATACATACTGAGGTTAGATCTCGATCAGGTGCTCCACCGTATTTTTTTATATAAAAAAACACAGGCTGGGCTAAATTGAAGAAGCTGGTAGTAAGAATAAAGCAGAAATATAAATAATTCTCAAATTTGCATCCATATTTAGTTCTTCTTCTTTGAATTCTTTATAAGCCTTTTCCCTCTCTCGTTCAAATTCGAACAATGTCTACTAGAGTTGTATGAGGTGGTGAAACCCCATAACACAGAGATCTATTTATGCTGTTGTGGTAAAACTGAAGAAACAATATAAACAGCCAAATAATTAAATTATAAATCTGTAGTTGTTTTTCTTTAAACAAGCATACAACCAAAGTCCGTTTATTTAACAATTATGATTCATATTTGGCTATTTAAGAAAGTATAACTAGAATTTTGCTAAATTTCAATATTTTCTTTCAAACTAAGGGAACAACCTTGTTCGAGGACATAAAACCAAATAGTCATTATCCACTTTTGAATTTAGAAATTTGAACTGTTACTTCAAAATTCATTTTGATTATCTTTATCCTCAAGAATATAATACTACAGTCCTTAATATAAGAACTTGTCTAACTTTTAGTTTGGTCATAAATATAAAATTTCAATATACTTTGTCTCTCATATTTATTAATTTTTTTCCAAGGTAATCCTTGTAACAATAATAGTTCTGGCCAATAAAACCAACATAACTAATTTTTTTTTAATCTACTCAAATTAGTTAACTAACTATTATATTAAGAACTGGAGCTATTATTTTGGTACTTATAGATGTTTAGTTAATCATGTGCACAATAAAAATACGGATGTTTTTAGGCTTTTTTTCAAACCAAATATATAGCTTATTTCTGTTAGTATATGTTTAGTTTTGATTATGTTAATTCGAGAGCAAAAAATGTGCATGATATTAATTCTTATATGTTATCAATATTTATATCATGCTTACTTGATTTAATAAATTGGATATGCGGTTGAACCTGTTTATATAGTTTTATCAAAGTTAATTGATTTAATAACATGAAGGAGAAGAGAAGAAAGTTGAAGAAGTGGATAAAGATAAGGAGAAAAATGAGAGAAAATTGGAAGAAATATAGCACAATGAACGAAATAACATGAAGGCTAGCAAGATTAGATCAAGAAAGTTTAATCTTTAGTTTCTTAGACACCTGGTTTTTTTTAGATCTCTTGTAAAAGAGCAAGATCGAGTTTTTCAAATAATCAAAACGCTTCAAATGATTTAGAAAAGGTTTAGAATGGGTTTTTTTTCCAACTTAACATGAATAAACAGCAACATAGTTAGATTTTTACTACATATTGTATTAGTAGGTGTTTTAGTGTTTACTAGCTTTTATTAATTTACAATTGTCCCTGAGACAACAACTTATACCTCTATTCTTTATAATTCATTTATTTTAATTGCAAATATTTACTAACTTGCATT